CTGCGGGGACACGCCGCAGCTCCCAAACCTGCTGCCCCCGGGACATATTTTGCCTTTTATCCCGAGGGAAGCCCGTCCCGGGTGGACCGTGGGAGGAAGAAGGGGGAGCAGCCGAATTTCCGAGCCGCTGGCAGAGCGCGGAGTGCAACGCTCAAACCCCCAAACTTTGCACGGTGAGCTGCAAACTTGCCCTAAAAGCTTCCCACGAGGTTTCCGTGGGGCCGGCACGAGGGAAAGGGGCCGGAGGGAGCCCCACGCACCCTCTCCAGAGGGACAGGGGTTTCCTGAACAGAAACCCAGCGGGAAAGGGGAACAGCCGAGCCCGCTTTGTTGGTGGGGCCGGGACCGGGGCTCGCTTGGAGCCTCAACAAAGGCGCAGCCCGGCTGGGAGGCTCCCTGCACACACATGTGCGGACACGCGTGGCTCCAGAAGGCCGGGGGCACCGGGCAGCTCTGCGGCGGAGCGGCTCCATCCCTTACCGGAATCGCTCTGGCCCTCGGATCCCGAGGATGCGGGGATCTTGCTCTCGGCCAGCGGGCAAAGGAAGACGGCAGCGGGATCCACGCACTCGCTGACGGAGCTGCTGAACCCAAAATCCTGCGCGAAGGAGGGTTTGTGCGGGGTGGCTCTCTGCGTGCCCGTGGAAAGTTTCTCTGTCATCGCCTTCTCCAGTCTCTCCCGCGCTGAAAAACCGCTCCACATGCAATCCTTGAGGATGAAAGCGCTCAGGTTCCCGAAGATCTGCCCCGTCCCTATGAGATACTCCGGCTCTTCCCCGGCGAGGCAGTACCGGGAGAACCATCCCGGGCGCTCCTCCGCCCCCGAGCAGCACCCCTTCTCTCCGGGGGTGCCCAGCGGGGACAGCGGGGGCGTGGGGACCAGCTCGAACTTCTTCCAGATGTCCTCGCTGGGCGCCGTGGAGCGGTGGAAATCCTCCTGGGCGTCGTGATCGTAGAAGTAGTGCTGGTACGAGTCCAACTCCATCTCGGCACGGGGAAAGGAGCGGCCGAGAGAAGAACGAGCGCTCAGGAGAGGGGCAGCCCCAGGGATGAGGGGGGACCCCCACCCCGGCGCCAGCCCCCGAGCCGGGACCGCGGGCGCATTGTTCCCCCGCTCTTATAGCCCGGCCGCGGAGCCCGGCCGCGCCCCCGCCAATCGCCGCGCGAGGATTTGCATAATGGGCGTGGTCATGGTCAGTGCCCCGCCCCCCGATGGGACACGGTGAGGGGGGTCCCCGGTGGTCCCCGGTGTGGCTCCCGGGG